GACTTCTGTTTCTTTTTTATTCTTTACTCTGAGCATACCACCCCAATCACAAATGTGACATCAGCTCCACAATGATGACTCCGTCTCCCCTTAGCCCTCTATGTACAATCAAATAGCACCATCCCCCACTAATCCTCACCTCTGCTCTCTTTTTCTCCTTATCCTAATTTTTCCTTTTTGACATAAGCAACAAGAGAAATACATTAGCATCCTTAATTTCTGAAATGCTTCTGGATTAACTCCCTCTGACTTGGGGGGCTCAAGTTCAAATCTATTATTTCTACATCCCAAACCTACCCTTTGTACATCTAACTTTGCCTAATTAGATTCTCATGGAGAGGAGGAAATACTGTATAGGTAAACAAGCATTTTCTGAGTATTTTTCAAAACATAAAAAATTTATGATGTAACTTAAGTTTTGTGTTAGGATCATAGGTGAAGAAACTTCCCATTTATCACTTTGAACTGATTTTATAAAAAACGTGAACTCAGCTGGTCTTAGTCTTTGTTATTGCTTATTACTCTCTCACCTGAGAAAACAATGAGTCCTCCAAAATTTCCATTGTTTACAGACAAGGCTTCTTCCAGGTGTGGGAACAAATTCTTATCTTTTCCAGAGTATATTTATATTTTAGACTAGCTCAGGAATGTTAGCAAAAGTTTGACTTTTAAACCTGGTTGTGTTAGCATTTGAAATGTAACTGCTTAAATATTAAGCATTAATCATATTCTCAAAATAAAATATAAAATTAGATATTAGTAATAGCTAATTTGAATCTATTTTAAATGAATGCTTAACTGTATACTCTGGACCTTAATGAAACCTGTCTATGCACAATTTACCGTGCTTTGGCAAATTTCCTCTATAAATGGTAGCATGATGTTATGAAAAATGATCACCTAAGAAGGTAAACAAGTGTTTGTATTGGTGATATCAGAGATCTAAAACTATTTAAAGTCTCATCTACCATCTCACTTTTTCTGCTTTTACAGGAATTTTTTTGTTAAGCAAAACAGATCTGTTCAGAATATAGATGTTATGGGTGGGAGAAATGAGATGTGGATCAGACATCTAACTTTCAGTTAGAAGTTGGACAAGTTCTGGGGAATCTCATATGTAGTATGAGTGGTGATGGATGTGTTAATCATTTTGATTATGATCATTATACAATGGATATGTAAATCAAATGTTGTACACCAGGGGTATATGTAATCTTTATTCATTATTTTAAAATTAAAACAAGACTGGTTTTGTCTATGTGAGATGGGAAGTCATTGGAGGATTTTGAGCCATGGATACACTTAGTCTATCTTACATTTTAGCAAGGCTATTCTGGCTCCTGGCTAGAGAGATTGAGGTCCAGACCACAGAGGTAGTGATGGAGGTTATCATGTGGTACAGAAACTATGTCTTGAAGGAAGGGCCAGTCAGATTTTAGGATGGACACAGTGTAGGGTATGAAAGAGAGAGTGGTCAAGGGCACTTTCTACCCTTGCAAGGGTGGAGTTGCCATTTGTTAAAGTGAGGAAAACTGTAAGAAGAGCATGGCAACATTTTTTAAAATTTGATTTTATTTTTGAGTGGAGGGTGAGTAGAACGATACTGTGTTCAGTTTGATGGTAAGAAGGATAAAAGCAGATGGCCGTAGGCCTCTGCCATTCCTGCATCCCCACAATGACAACCTTAGGGATTGCACATCTCTTAAATTTATAAAGACATCACCCTCAACTCCCAGCTTCAGTATTTCTTTTGGAGAATGAAAAGGTCTGGCTTAGGCTGGTGGTTAGCAGAGAGCCTGATAAGTAGCCATGGGAATCGCTAAAGGCCCAAGCCCTCAAGGATAGATCTTCCATCCTGGGGTTACTCTACGTCTCCTCTCTTTATCTTATATCACTTTCCTGTCCCATCTGCTTCATTGTCTATTTTGACCTGGTAAGTGGGAACTTTGCCTTCCCTGAGTTGCACCGATATATATTTACACACAGAAAGTCAGAATTTATGTACTTAAAAAAAGAATTTATGTACTTTTTATAAAAATATATTTACTGAGGAAAGAGTCTAGTATTTCTGGACATTGGGACATAGAACATGGAAGGGATCTTAAGGTAAAAAGTGACCACAGTGATGAGGGAGGAAGGAATGTGGCCGAGTATGACCCCTTTCTCATCTTTCTTCCTGTTCAAGCTCTTTACCCATCACCTATTACCCCTGGTGCTGCTCCCATGACTCTCCTTTATGCCAGTAGAGATCAGGTGCTTTCTCACGTAGGGGAGCAGAGGGCCATTAGTAGGGAAGGAGCTGTACTTCTGAGTTCTAGAGCTCTTTGGGGACGGTGGGCTAGTCCCTAAAATTCTGGAGTCTGGGGAATAGCAGGACCAGATCTGTGTTTTAGAAAGGTAACCTTGGGGACCTGCAGATGGCGAAATGGTTACATCACTGGACTCCCATGTAGTCAACAGTGAGTTGAGTCCTGAACCCAGGAGCTTAAAACTCATGTTGGGCACTTGTGTGTGTATGCTCAAGATCTCAAGAGGAAAATGGAGGAGAAGGGATTACAGCGTTACAATCCCCCTGGGGAGTGATTTCTCACTTCCTGTCTCTCTCTGTCTCTCCAATGAGCGCACACACCCTGTAGCAAAAATCTCTCTTAAAAAAAGAAAAGAAAAGAAAGGTAATCTTGGTGTCCATGGGAAATTGGGCAGAAGGAGAAACCAGACAAATAAGTCAGAAAGAGATTAAGATAATTTGTTCAAGAGAAGTTGGAGTCTAGACCATTAGTGAGACTTGGTGGTGAAAAGGGATCAGAGGAAAGTAGAATAGGTGGATAAGAAGGGAGAGAATCTGGCGACTGACCAGGGGCAGAGCTTGCAGAGGGAGCAGTGACACAGGGGACTGGGACACCATGAGTCCTGAGAGTTCTTGGTAGAGACAGTGAGGGTGAGAGGCAAGAGGAATTTAATGTAAGTTAGGTCAAGTTTGAGTTGCTTGTGAGATCCCCAAGTGGGTGAAAATAAAATTTCTGGAATTTCTACCTAGGGCCACTGGGAAGGCATATAGGAAAACAAGGCCAGCACAGGGGAAACTTAGATGCTAGAGAACATCTCGGGAGCTCTGGGTGGAAATTGCAGTGATGGAGGTGATAAAAGCGGAAAGTGGCCTGCAGTCAGCACTCAGGGGTCATCCTTCTGTCTCTGGTGCACATATTTCCTTAAGAAACACTTCTGCCAAGACATGTTGTGTGCTGAAAGAGCGATTAAAGATAGTTTTGCTTCTGAACAGGGACTAAATTATTTGTCACTAAAACAGAAATGGCTCAGCTGTTACTCATGAAATAGGTGTGATCAGTCATATGCACAAGAGTGTCCCTTGGAATTTTGAGTTTCTTTCAGCAGATTATGGAAAATAGATTCATCACAGAATCTGCCCAAGCATTAAATACCTCATACCCATGAACTAATCCTTCAGGTATCTGCTGGGATCCGAGAGTCAGGGAAGACACCGCGAGCCTACACTTCCCTGTAGAGACAGAGAAGCAGTGCAGGCCTTTGTTTGGGGCTCTTATCTCTGGTGCCTTCACCTCCCAACTTCTGTCAGATCCATTCAGTCACTTCAACTTAATCACGGAAACCAGGTTTGATAGTTTAGGTTATAAAAGATCTCAAATCTCTTCTCAGTAAAACCTCATTTATATAGAAATCTTGTGAATGCAGAATTTTAATCATAAGGCTTGTTATTTGAAATACTATCCAGGTGCCTTTTTTTAAAAAATATGTTAGTTATAACGCTCAGTGTCTACCATCTTTATTGAGTGGATTGTCAACAAGTATTTCAAATACCGTGGTATGAGTAATGAAGTTATTTGACAACGTCTATACTGCTTCATATCTGCCTCTTGCAATTCCTGGATAGGCAGTGGTTTGTAATGCATTGCTCTGATTTAAAGGATGTGACTTTTTTCCTGAAAAAGGATTTAATAACGTTTACAGAAATAAGAAGCCAATGCCAGAATTGATCCAACTAGCTTTCCCTTCGTAAAGAGCTGCTCTTTAGTCTCCTGTGAGCTGGGAGAAACCCCCCTGCCCTGCACGGCTAGCACTCCAGCTGGCCCACCACGGTCACTGAGATTGAAATCAATCACGGGACTGTGATTCTGATAATGCTGCTCTGCAGGGCAATTACCTTGAATCCCTCCATGTCCACTGAATGTGTTGAAAGGGCCTTGCTTGTGGAAATAGATCTAGGAGACAGTTTTATGTATTTAATTAACATTAGTCTTATTATTTTTTTTTATTTCACAAAACCAGGAAAAAAAAATGTAATTTATAAGATTTTTTTTTAAGAAGTAGGTACTTACATAAGTTAGTATATACAATTGTGTGGTGATTTTTTTTCATGAATTAAGTTAAAAAGGTGACTTTCCTAGACAAACTAATCTTATGCTGTTGCATATCATGTTAGTTATTTAGCATACGCATAATTTTCTTGGCTTGTCAGCCAGGCTGTAGTCTATTAAAAAACCAAGGTCCCTATCCTTTTTGTATTTCTCATAATTGCCATTATCATATTCAGCCTATAATATACCATTTCTTTCTGTTTTGACTGAAACTCAAATACAGTGGAAAATTCACATTTAATATTTTTCAAATCTAGGCTGCATTTAGAATAAAGGATTTCTGCCTTAGCCACCTTATATTCACATCTACTTGTGTGCGTGCCCATATATGTAGATCTGGTGTGTCAGGGTTTTTCTGTGATATCATTTGGAGAACAATACTTGATACTCAGGATTCAACTGGTGCATTGGAAACACATTCTTGCGATCAGTTTTGCAGAAGCAGTTGGCCAGCAGCAGGGTTGTGCTCCTGTGACATGATTGACATGATGCTATCTGTGTGGGTACCTTCACTAATACAATAGCAACAGTGCTGTTATTTGCCCTTTATTCCCCTAAAGCGGTAAATAAATTCCAACAACCAAAGTTGTTCTTTGTTTTTCAAAGGTCTCATCAGAAGATTGAAGACCCTGAAGAAAGCAGTGATGAAATTCTTGCTCGTCTAACGTCTGCGGTAAGACCTTGCAATTTCCCTGCCTAGGGGTGCAGAGATAATGAGGTCAGGATCTTCGAAGGGAGGCAGCATGGGTAGCGGGATAGAGAGATTGACCTGTAGCTGCTCATCATCATGGGAGCCCCAAACAAGACAAGGCAGGGGAAGACAATGGCTGTAACTTTCTATACCCTATTGCAGCCTCCCTTGTGAGAAACTTCCCTGGTAGAAAGTTCTACAGCCTTCACGGAGGCATAATATCTGATATTTTAATTTAATACAGCATGATTTAGCCTAAGAGGTGTGACCTGGTACACAAAGGGTAAAAAGAATTGCCTCAGCCAACTAAAGGCCAGGATATTGGTTTTTACTGTACTATATTGGAACATTTACACTGTTTTCTAAAGATACTAATCATAATTGATTAGCTGAAGGAAATCTCATGCCCTTCTTCATAGGAAGAGCTGAATGTGGTAGCTAATTGTTACACTCCAATTTTCAACAGATTCTAGCAATCTGGCATCATAAAATCTTTACCCATTGGCTTGGCTGTTTAAAAAGTTCTCTAATCTTCCTTCCTGAAGATTCTTTAGTTCTGTTTTAACCTCTAGTATTAGAATAGTAACTGCTGAAAATCATGCTTGATTGGGTTAAGTATGTGAATGAAACTGGCCTGCAGAGTTTTATATACCAGGTCTTGCCAAGTTAGGGACACTTCGAAAGTTGTTCTTTTTGCTCATCTGGACTATAGCTTAGAAAAATATCATCTTTAAAAAAATATTCCATGACAATGACAGATACAGAGACATAGGCATCCGTAACAGTATCTCATGCTATCTGTAATCCCCTCCTGGTCTCAGCCAACCCTGATCATAGGCATGCATGTACATGCCTGGCACATACAAGGAGGTCCCGAGGGATAGGAACCCAGCACCTTCCCATGGGAGTCTAGTTGTGTTACTGCTGTACCACCATCTGGCCCCAGACACTTTTTATTTATTTTTACATTTTATTTGTGATAGAGCGCACATGTGTGCACATGATGGGTTGGGGAGAAAGAAACACCCTCAACAGGGTCTCATCACACCACAGCCTCCTTTCCCTGACTCTCCAGCTTATCAGAATCTTGGGCATGCACACACACCTCGGATATATTTTCAAGCCGATGCAGGGATCTGAATCTGGTCAGCTGTGTGGCTCCCAGCAGCAGTTTTCAGCAGTTAGCTACTGACTCCACCACTATGCTGGGCCAAAAAAGTAATTTTTGCTAATTATGGTGCTTACTGGTATAAAACATCATGTGAAATTGAGTCTTGACAGAACATTATGAAAAAACATTTAGTATGAACTTTGTAGTTTAAAATATTGACTAATGAGGAGTGCCTATTGTGTTTTTTTTTTTTGGAGAGATTTTCACTGTAGGGCGCGTGCGCTCGCCAGACAGACAGAGAGAGACATAGAGACAGAAAGCGAGAAATCACCCCCCAGGGGGGATGGTCACGCCGCAATCCCTTCTCCTCCATTCTCCTCTCGGGATCTTGGGCACGCACGCACACGCGCCCGGCGTGAGTTTTAAGCCACCGGGTCCGGGACACGAACCGCGGTCGACTACGTGGGAATCCAGCGACATAGCCATTACGCTAACTGCTGGTTCCCAGGAGTGCCTATTGTGTTAAATCGTTTTTTTTTTTTTTGGAGAGGTTTTTGCTACATGACGGATGCACTCGCCAGAAAGACAGAGAGATACAGAGAGACAGAAAGCGAGAAATCACCCCCCGGGGGGATGGCCATATCACAATCCTTTCTCCTCCATTCTCCTCTCAGGATTTTGGACGCATGCACACACGCGCCCACCGTGAGTTTAAACCATGGGATCCAGGACTCGAACTGCAGTTGGCTACATGGAAATCCAGAGAAATAGCCATTATGCCAACTGCTGGTCCCTTGTATGAAATCTTACGAGCTATCTGTTAGAAAAGCAATCAGTATGGATGAGATACTATATGTACATCGTGTGGTGTATATAATATGCATACACACACATCCTGCTAGACTATACAATCGCCCTATGAAGTAGGTAGTGTTATTGCTATTTCATAGATAGCAAAGATTGTAAAGATTATAGAACTTAAGTATCTTGCCTAAGGTCACCCACCTATTAAGGAACAATGCCAGAATCTAAAGTCAGAATTTTCTTCCTCCTATTCACGTTTTTTTTTTTTTTTTTTAATATTATACTGCATTTTTCATAGTGTAATATGGTTATTGGAATAGTTTCAGAAGTGACCAAAAAACATGCAAGATTTGGTTCCTACAGCCAAACCAAGAAGACAAGAAAGGTATACTTAGGAAATTAACATAAAAAGTAGTTGTAAATTAATCAAAAAGTGGTACATAGATAGTAAATTTAGGGACCAGCAGTTGGTGTAATGGCTATGTCGCTGGACTCCCATGTAGTCAACTATGGTTCGAGTCCCAGACCTGGTGACTTACACTCACTCTGGGCACATGTGGGTGCTTGCCCAAGATCCTGAGAGGAGAATGGAGGAGAAGGGATTGTGGCGTGGCCATCCCCTCTGGGGCTAACTTACCGCTTTTTGTCTCTCTATCTCTCTCTGTCTTTCTAGCAAGCTCATGTGCCCTATAGCAAAAACCTCTCAAAAAAAAGAAAGATAGTAAATTTTTTAAAAAGTACACTGGAACCAGCAAGTGGCATGGTGATTAAGGTGCTGGACTCCCATGTGGCCAACCTCTGTTGGAGTCCTAGACACGCTGAGACATATGCATACATGCCCAAAAGCCCAAGAGGAGAACAGAGAAGAGGTTGCAACGTGTCCATCCCCCATAAGGGTTGATTTCTCACTTTCCTTCTCTCTGTCTCTCTCTGGCAAGTGCACACACCCTATGGCCAAAAAAAAAAAAAAAAAGGTTCACTGGATTTGAAACACCATTGTTTCAGTCAGGATTAAAACAGGTGACAGTCAGAGGGATGTATATTCTAACTGTGGGGTTTATTAGGAGCAGGCATAGAATTGAGACATTACCCTGGGGAATATAGCGACCCACCTGGTTAGTGAAAAAGGCCCTAGTTAAGAAATGTAAAAGTTTTTTCTTTTTGTTTCTGTTCTGGTTTTTTTTTTAAAGTTTGCTTTAGGGTGTATGCAATTTGCAAGAAAGAGAGAAGAATTGAGAAATCATCACTCAGGGGAGATGGCCATGCTGTAATCCTTTCTCTTATCTCCTCTTGGAATTTTGGACACACACACACACAAACACACACACGAACCTAGTGTGATTCTCAGGCTGCCAGATCTGGGCTGCTCAGTCTCTGTGTACAATCCAGCTGCTATAACCTTCATGTCACCTGCTGGCCCAAAAGATTTTTTTAAAAAACAACTAAATAACATGATAAAGTAGATTTTTTAAAAAGACAATGAGTTGGAGTAGGGAGACTGAAAGTCTGATGAAAACCTAGTTGATGTTGGTTTTTGTGGGAACCAAAAAAAAAAAAAAAAAAAAAAAAGAGGTCCAAAGGAAACAC